CCTTTGGACTTGGAAACAAGTGGAACTATTGCAAGAAACATGTCCACTTAAAATAAAATAATGTAAAATTGATTATATTCATCCATGATTTGATTCTGACAAAACAATATATCCTTTATTTATTCCCTTTTCCGGATTTCTTGAGAAATTATGATTTGCAAGAGAATTGTGCAAAACAGCAGCATGGGAAATCCTGTATTACTCATTTGTTTTTGTAAGAAATACCTAAAATCAACTCTCGACTCAATAATAGACAAATATTACATTTATTTTCTATACACATGCATTTTTGTCTCATTACCTCTATCAGAAGACCATAGCATAGTTTCATCAAATAGATTTCACAGAAGTTACCTTGTGAACTAGATACTGAATGTTTTCATGATATGGTCTAAAAATAACAAAGAATTTTACCCCTAGTATTTTTTACAATTAAACCTCATTTTAGTAAGATGGTTTTTCTGTATGGAGCCCACAACTACACTCCACCGCTCGCCTCCCACATGTTTCTACACATTGCTGGTAAGCTGACCAAAAAGTGTACAAAAAAAGTTGACCTGTTTGAAGATATTTACAGTGATGGTGTGGAAACGACATATGCAGCATTTGTCTCTTTCATGAAGGCAACACTAACACTTTGAGTGGCATGACTGTTGAGAAGATGACTGCAGGTTGGCTGTCTCAGCTGTTAGATATGCAACACTACATACACCCGTAGGGCAAAAAGTACATTCTCTGCAAGACACACCAGTGATAAACTTAGATACATAATGAAGTACAGAAATATATAATATTGCATATTTCTAACAGTGGAAAGCAATACAGTATCTCTTATTTTTAACAGCAAAAATTATGATTGCTTTCTGTTTTAAATAAAATCATCAGGACAAGTTATGACATAGTAAAAAACTGAAGTATCATGCTGCAGTAAAACACACATAAAACATAATATTTTATGTGTTGACTTATAAAAAACATTTATGTTTTTGGTATATCTACATGAATTCATATCCAATAAAACTTGGACAAAGACTTAAAAAAGCAGTTTATTTTTCTCTTCATCTCTATGTTTTTAAGTGGAAGATGATCGTGAGAGGAATG